AGCCCCGGACCCGGTGGCTTAAACTCACGCTGGGCACATGTGCGTGCGTGTCCAAGATCCCGAGAGGAGAATGGAGAAGGGACTGTGGCATGGCCATTCCCCCTGGGGGATGATTTCTCGCTTTCTGTCTCTCTGTCTCTCTCTGTCTTCCCAACGAGCGACCCCGCCGTATAGCAAAAACCTCTCAAAAAAAAAAAAAGAAAAGAAAAGAGAATAACATTCAGAAGGACTAAGGTCTCTGATTCTCATTTTATAATAAAAATAAGGTCACTATCATAAGGGGCGGGGGCAGCAGGAGGCATGGTGGTTAAGTGCACTGGACTCCCACATGGCCAACAGTGGTTCAAATCCCAGACCTGGTGGCTAGCTTTCTCACTTTCCTTCCCTCTGTCTCTTTCTGGTCAAGTTCAAATAATAATGATGATGAATAGAACTAAATAAAATAATTCTCTTAAAAAAATAAGAGGCACAATATAATGACATATATGTGAGTTATAAACATCGTTTTCAAATTCCAGGGGAAAGTGAAGCTTAAGAAGGAATGGCAAACATATACCATTTTTAAAACTCAACTCTAAGTCATGACCACAATGAAGTAGCATTGAGAAAAAAATAAAGAGCAGAAATCATTACCCTACAACATAAGAGCTTTATTTTCTTTTTCTGTTTTTTTTTGTTTGTTTGTTTCTCCAAGGGTTTTTTAAAAGAGCTTTTTGCTTCTTTCTTTCTTTCACTATAAAGTACATGTGCTCACCAGAGAAACAGTGAGAGGGAAAGTAAGAAATCACACACACACACACACACACACACACACACACACCCTGGACGGGGGGTGGGGGGTGGGGGAATGGCTATACTGCAATCCCTTCTCCTCCATTCTCCTCTCAGGATTTGGGGCACACATGCACACATGCCTAGTGTGATTTTCAAGCCGTCAGGTCTAGGACTCAAACCACATGTGGCCATGTGGGAGTCTAGCACCATATTCATCACATTACCTACTGAACCCCATACAGAGTTTTTACATAAGCCACACTGACCTGAACATTAAAACTTAAGAGCTCCAGACTGGCAAATAACCAAACCAGAATGAAAACTACACAGTGGCTATTCAACATACAGAACATGCAAGTCCAGAGATGAGTAATTAGCAAAAAGAACCAAATCAAAGATTATCTACAGACACTGGTGAATGAAAGCAAAATGAAACATGTAAGCAGGCCCAGCCACAATGTCACAAGTAGTCGGGCACCGCTGTGAGATATTGGATTAATATGGGAAGACCCAGAGTGATTCTGGGTAAACCTGAACACGCCAGACCTGCCTACAGGCACCGCTATAATCCTGGCTGGCTGGAAGGCTGGGGAAGGGTCATGGACAGTTGAGATTCCATCAAGGTTACCTCTCTCTATTTAAAAAAAAAACAAGTACACACATGCACAAAAAAGAAGAAAATGTTCATCAAAAGAGAAATTATCCTAGGAAACAGAGAAAGTGTTCAAACTGTTCTCTACATGTTGAAGAATTAAAAATAAAGTTAAAAAAAATAGTCTTTGGAAAGAGCAAGTCAAAATAGACATATAACAGACTTTGGAGCGATTGGTAAAGACAGCAGAACATAAGAGTTGATACAGCTCAGAAAAAAAGAAGAGGTCTGGCTTCAGCACATAGTAATACATTCCTTAAGAGAAGTCAGATCTCACATGGTGACCATGGTTCAAATCCCCAGCCCGGTCAGCCTGAAACACACCAAGCACAAGTGGTTGTACCCAAGGTCTAATGAGCTGGGTGACTGAGGAAGAGAATAGGGACGTGATCAGACCAGGTTGATAGTGCTCCTTTCTCTCTTCCTCCATGCACACATGTTCTTTCATGAACAAAGAAAAATTAAAAAAAAAAAAAAAAACACATAGAAAAGAAAAATGAGACTAATACAAAAAAGTGTGATAACAAGTCACAAGATGTTAGAGAAACATGCAATAAGCAGCCCAGGCAGGGCCCAGGCAGCTACAGTGGAGCAGCAGTAGGGGCAATGACGCATAATGCCAGAAACCACGTGGGAAGCCTACAGGTTCAAGTCCCAGGCCTGAGTTAGGATCTGATCTCAGGATCACAGCAGGCGCATGATCCTGTCTGGCTGCAAGGCTGGTGGGGAGATTCATGATGGAAAGACCCTGTCGAGGATGCCCATGCTGTGGCTCTACGGCAGGGAAACGTCTCGATGCAGTGAGAGAACGTGACCACGTCAGTACCAGAACCACCTTCCTTGAGCTGGTTAGCAACTGAACAAGTCAACTGTCATATCTGTAAGAGACCCAAGCACAAAGGAAAATGTCCTTGTGAGGGATGAAGGAATGTTCTAGAGTGCACCTTTCGAGCCACTGTAAGAGCTTTCCAGCAAAACTGTTTTTCCCCAGTTACGTTTTATCTGGGCTCCACTGAGTTAACTTATGAACACATTATAAAATTGGGTAAGTTCTTGGAGACCAGCAGTTGGCATAATAGCTATGTCTCTGGACTCTTGTGTACTTGACCATGGTTCAAGTACTGGACCCAGTGGCTTAAACTCACGCCGGGCGCATGTGCGTGCGTGCCCAAGATGCCCAGAGGAGAATAGAGGAGAAGAGATTGCGGTATGGCCATTCCCCCTTCTCGCTTTCTGTTTCTTTGCCTCTCTCTCTCTTTCTGGAGAGCACATGTCCTATAGAAAAAACCTCTAAAAATTTTTTTAAATTTTTAAAAATTAAAAAAAGAGGTAACGTTCTAAAGGAAAACCTGCCTTATTATTTAGTCCATGCTCTAAGACAGTTTCAGAGGAGAAGAGTCCTCATCTTTAACATAGATTTAATTCTATTTCAAGGCTTTATACCTTTGATTGCTTTTGGTTTTAAAGGATACGGTTTTATATTTGGTAAAGACTTGAATTAATTTACCTCAACTTCAATGGGAATGTCTGAAATTATTTTTTCAATATCTGTGGATTAAGTGAGACCACAGATGGTCTGGGAAGGTTTGCAATAAATGCAATAAAGTACTAATGTCATCCTTTAGTTCAGAATTGGAAAATTTGGTTGATTTTGGACTTGTGCAATTGTTTTTTTTGTTTTTTTTTTTCACATTTTTTCTTGACTGTCCTGTTCCTGTTTCCTTCATCCATATTGAAAAACATTTCTCCCTTTTGCAAAAAGGAGGCATGTGTACTCTAGATTTCTAAAACAGTATCTCCGCCAGGCCAGCGGGTAGTATGGTAGTTAAGGGGCTGGATCCCACATGGCTGACTGTGCAGTTCGAACCCCAGACCCATCAGCCTGAAAAGCATGCCAGGCAAGTGTGCGTATGTGCCCAGCATCCCAAGAAAAGAGTGGAGACGGGACTGTGGCATGGCCACCTCCTACCCCATCCCTACCCCAAGAGTGATTTTTCACTTTCTCTATCGCTCTGTCTCTCCATCTTTCTCAGGCACATGTACACACCCTATAACAAAAAATTAAAACACACACACACACAAACTCTCCCAAGTAGATATGTAGAAACCAAGGGGATGAGCAGGAAAGAATGAAACCTACTTAGTGTTGATTGCTGCAACTTTAAAGGATGGGTTTATGAACAGCCATAGGTTTATTAGACACTCCTACTATTTAAGTTTGCTACTGCGAGGAAGAGTATAATCTAAAGCGGTGTGGGAACAGAACGAACTGCGCCAGGATCAGTGAGAGTCATCATCTGCTCTTGCAGAAAGGTCAGCTTCTGCTAAGGTATTAATTAGGAGAAAGGGAGAAATCCTTTTTTTCCTCCTGGAAGAACCCCTATCCCTTTATTATCTTGTTGTGCCTTTGGTATTTTATAGTTTGTTTTGTTTTGTTTTGTTTTTTTAGATAATCATCTGGCTTTTTGTAGTAGTGTCAGACTCCTCGTTGATGATTAGGAGAATTTGTCTCCTCCACTCTCCTCTCAGGATCTTGGGCACGCACATACATGTGCCTGGCGTGAGTTTAAGCCACTGGGTCGAGTTTAAGACACCGGGTCCAGGACTTGAACCACGGTTGACTACATGGGAATCCAGTGACATAGCCATTACACTGCTGCTGGTCCCGGGTCTGTGAAATTCTTAACAATGCTTTTAAGTTTATACTTTGTCCTAGGCTGAAAGTTCAAGGTTGGTTTTTCTCCTTCCAGTGCTGGCTTTTTTCTGGAAAGGGGAAGCCAGGACCACAGCTTCTGAGGAGAGTTTTGAACTAGAGTGGCGATGCTCCAGTGGAGATGCAGGTGGAAGAGGAGACCCTCAGTACAGACAAAATCAGCCAAAGGAGGACAAAGAGGAACTGGAGCAGGCAAAGGAGTGGAATGAGAAAGAGAAGAGGCCTCAGAAGCTTTCTTTACTCCTGCGATAGTTTCAGAGAAATCTCTTATTTGCCTCCTAAAGGGAAGTAATTTTGTCTGCACTGCCTTCCCAGGCTTCTAGACAAGAAACTTTCCCATTGAATTCACGTGGTTCTAAGCCCAGTCCTTCCTGGTTGTGTGCGTATTTGGGGTCACATGACACTAACTGGATCCACTTTTCTAAGTATTTGCAAGATAGAGCTCTGTAAGAGTTCCGTGTAAAACCAGCTGGTGTTTGTACAGGGAGCTGCCCTCAGTGGGAAGGCTCAGATTTGGATAAGCTGTTTTCCTTCATTTTAGAAACTCCCCCTTTTAAAATTTTTTTCCAAAAAAGTGACCAAGACTAAAAATAGAAAATGTGTCAAATCAACATCAGAACCACCAATGTTACTAGGAGGCAGCTGAGGCCTTTAAGGCCTTTAGGAAAAATAAAAAACTCACCAGTGATGAAGCTGCCATAGCTTTGAACCCAACTCCCTAGGAGACCAACAAACCTTAACCCAAATCTCTAAGTTAAAGACAGGAGCAGAAAGGCAGTGCCCCACCTCCTACCCAAGAGCAGAGATGGAAAACCTCTCTCCTTGTCAGAGAAGAATCAGTGCCCAAATCAGGAGACTCACCTTCACACCCAGTGAAACCTCTGGAGTCAGGACACAAAGGGTCCAAAGCCAGGACCAGGACAGCAAGTCTAAGAGGAAAGATGTTCAGGGTGTCAGTTCGAGTCCCATTTCCGGGTATCCCAAACAGGCTTTTATCAAAATAGCCACTGAGAAAGTTGGCTTATATAACAGAGACAAGGGCAGGAAGATGGGATGTTACAAATTATTTGGCAAAAATGACCGACTAGGGACAACAGGCAGCATTGTGGTTAAGGTGATGGACTCCCACATGGTTGACCGCGGTTCAAGCTCCAGACCTGGCAGCTTGCTTTCTCATTTTCTTTCTCTCTCTCTCTCTCTCTCTCTGGTGAGTGTACATACCCTATGGAAAATTAAAAAGTAATAACAAGTAATTTTTTTAAATGATCGGCTATACCTTACCTTACCTTACATAGGGACCTGGAGGACACAGGGAAGAGGTGGGAGTCACATTATATAAAAAACTATAACCCTTTCTTTGCAGGTTAGTTTACATAGTCTTTGTGCTTAACCAAAGTCTCAGGCCTAAACCTAGTTCAAGGCCGATTAAAATCTAAATGGACTTCCTATTCCAAGCAGCTTAGAAAGATGTTTTTACTTTCTCAACCATCAAACAGAACCACATACACGTTAAAGTTTACACTACTTGGCTTCAAATACAAGAATTCTACAGTATGAAAGAAATCCAATTTTGAGGGAAAAAGAAATAAGAAAACCATTACTAAATCATGAAACTGCAGAACTAGTAGTATATTCCATTGAATTATTGATCAGTCAGTTCACAAATACTATGGAATCCTATACAAATAGTTATTGAACCCTGTGCAAAATGCAGTCACTCTAATAATATATTTCAGCATCTATCAGCTAATAACATATTGTTTGGCCTGTAAACAAAATGGGAGCCCAATTAGGGGCAGGGCAGAGGTGCAGCAGCAGAATATGACTCTCTACCAGGTAGATCCACATTGTTGGTTCATGTTTAGAGACCTCCCTGAGTACACTGAGCACATGACTGCCCATGATCCCAGATGAAGCTGGGGGTGGATTATGGATGGCAGCAAGGCCCTGTTGAGGGTGGTGTGTGTGTGTGTGTGTGTGTGTGTGTGTGTGTGTGTGTGTGTCTTACTCCTGGAAGAAATAAATAAAGTTTAAAAAAATTCAGAGGCGCCAGCGGGTGGCATGGTGGTTAAGGCACTGGACTCCCACATGGCCAACCATGGTTCGAGTCCCAGACCCGGTGGCTTGACAATCATACCAGATATGTGAATGTGATGCCCAAAATCCTTAAAGGAGAAGGGAGAAGAGATTGTGTAATATTCATCCTCCCTGGAGGGTGAGTTCTTACTTTCCCTTTTTCTGTCTCTCTCCAGCGAGCATATGCGCCCTATGGCAAAAACCTAGAAAAAAAGATTAGAGCCAAAATAGTTGTGAAATAAACTGACTTCATTGATTGCTTGTATTTACGAAGAGTCAAGGACGTCCTGACCCAGAAGACTGTCCATAGCGTGATGAGAAGACGTGCTTCTGCCACATGGGGGTGGGGGTGGATGCGTAAGAACATGCTCTGTAGCCATGGAAGAAGCAGAAGCTATTCAGTTAACAGGAAGAACTATCCAGGCCTGATTGTGAACTCACCAGGGACTCCCAAACTACTCTAGTTTGATAGCAAATTTTTAAATTTGAAAAATCATCCAACTCCACCACAAGATTAAACATATACTTTCAGAATCTACTGTGTAATTCAAAATTAAAGTATTAATGAATCACAGTACCTTTTAATTTAGAAATACATTTACAATCGGTATACTACCTGCATGTTTAACAAATGGGAGAACATACATACGTTAGAAACTGTTTAACCTACAGATGATGATGTACACACGCAGGGTTTCATAAACCTTTGTTTCTGTGGCTCCCAGGTTATCCGGCATGGGAAACACAATCATAACTAATTGAGCTCTTAGGACAATGTACTTCGACCTAAAATCCAAAAACCTACAGTGTAGCAAGAAAAAAGTAATAAAAAGAAGCTGTGGGCCAGCAGGTGGGATGGAGTTTCAGGTGTCAGATCCCATATGGCCGACTAAACAGTTTGAGTCCCGGATCCAACAGCTTGAAAATCACACCAGGTACCGGTGCGTGCATGGCCAAAATCCTGAGCAGAAAATGGAATAGGAGATAGTGTGGTATGGCCAGCCCCCTGGGGAATGATTTCTCTCTTTCTCTGTCTCTCTCTGGTGAGTGTATATGCCCTACAGCAAAACTAAATCTCAGAAAATAAAAAATAAAAATAAAATTGGGAGAGTTGCTAGCAAAATACAAAACCAAAGCTCAAATTTCATCAAATAATACTGCTAAAACACCAACTATTCATTGGGTGAACATTGTATTCATAGTAATGATTATTTGCTGTAATCATGTTTAAGCATTTCCATATCAATTGCACTTTTTCAAGCATAAAGCCGAAGAGAATGCAGAGTAACACAACACTCAAGTAGGCTTTGAAAAGAAAGTTACTCAGTGAAACAATGCTTACCTCCAGTGTTGGTGGATGCTAATTACAGAAAATAAGAATTAAATATAAATTATTTATTCCTTTTTCAAGACTGCTTTTAGGCTTCATTCTTATCAAATCAAGTATGCTTGACATGATCTGGAAAATGCAAACATTTTAGAATATAATGGTTCTCAGTTTAAATACCACACCTGGGGACCAGTAGATGGCATAATGGTTAAGTCACTGGACTCCCACATGGCTGACCATGGTTGGCGCCCCAGATCCGTCAGTTTCAAACTCAGGCCAGGCACGTGTGTGCACGTGACCAAAATCCCAAGAGGAAAATGGAGGGAAGGGAATGCAGGGTGGCCATCTCCCCTGGAGGGTGATTTCTGGCTTTCTGTCTCTCTGTCTCTCCAGTGAGCACACATGCCCTACAGCAAAAATCTCTCTTAAAAATAAGAAATAAATAAATACTGCATCTTCCATAAGAACTGGAGAATTTTACTTAAACCCTCTAAGTATCAGGATGTTTTGGAGGTTTGTCTTTGGTAAAAATATTAGTAGCAATGTCTACTTCATTCAGTTAGTATGAGAACCAGATAGAATAACTGCAATGCCCAGCAATCAATTAAAAATTGTTTGAGAAAGAAGGAAACTCAGTATTGTCTAAGACCCTGAGAAAAATCTACAAGGACTACATCATTTTTCCTTTTTGTGGGAGGCAGACTGAGTTAACAGACAATGACTATCTTAATCTAGGGAAGACAGGGCTAGAAGCCCCTTCCAAACCACGGATTGCAGAGCCCCTAACAAAAGAAAAAGACCTGAAATCCCCAACTGAAAGCTTCTGGGCTGAAATCCCTGATTACTTTTTTATGTTCCTGTTAATATTCAGAAACTTTCTTTTAGAAGCCCAATAATAGAAGATTGTGACGAGATATAACCATATGCCCATGATTTCTATGAAGAAGTAAGATGATAAAAGAAGTACAACACTTACCTCCTGCCTCTAGCAACCAACTAATCACGTAGGAGAGATTCAACCCAAAAAGCAGAGAACACTGTTTTCTCGCTCCCTGCATTCCCAATCTCCTACCGAGCAAGGAGCCGTAGCTGTTTGGAGATCCAGAGCAATCCAGACCATAAAGACTCCCATGTCCGGGAAGACGGAAAAGAGGAGACAGAAATTTTGTGTAAATGAAAAGGATGTGAAGCACTTTGAGGAGCCTTAGATTCTTGGTTCTTGCGATTTCTCTCTCTCTGAAAACAAAACAATCTAGGGCCTTGTCTACAGAGTGGCAGTCTTCCAAATTCTAGAAGGCCCTAAGACACTAAGGTATGCAGATTAACACAGTCATCAAAGGTTCCTTGTACCAGATAAAATGACCACATGTCTCAGTGTCCCCAAGACAGTTCGGAATTATCACTGCATAATTATAATGGCAGTGAGCTCAGTGATTTAAGAAATAAATTATATGACACCCAAATTATAGGACTGAACCAGATATGGAAAAAGTATGACATAGCTATAAAATGAATCCAAACAGGCAAAAACCTAGTCAAGTTTTCTCCCTATTACATATATACAATATTTCCAATCGTTTCAAAAATCTGCAATAAATCTTCCCAGACATAGTCAAATTAACACCAACAACCTAGGGTTATAGCATGCTGAAACTAAAAAAAAATAACTTAAAAGGATTTCCATTGTAAGTCAATAACTTGTATCAATAATTCATACCACCTCCCCTGAGACCACTCTTTGGGAAAGAAAATAGAGATTATAAATGCATTTCTGAATAATGCACCGAGTAACCAAGCACAATAAACAGCTAAAATGATCATCGTTTCCATGTTTCTAGCATCATTCGAAAGCATAAAACCATTCGCTACCAGAGGCTCTTCACTCAAATTATAAAAACAGTGTCAATAAAGCTTATTTTAAGGCAATGCAAAAATCTAGGAGACTAACACAAGAGAAGAAGTTCAAAGTATCGCTCTTCTAAAGGAACTGACAGGATGAGTTAGTATGTAAAGTGACTACAGCACTCCTGTTATATTTTCACTGAGACAAAGAAAATTAAAATCTAACACTGCAAAATCTAAACCTACACCCTAACCAACTAGGAGCCATATATTCAGAACAACTGGCAATAGAATCTAGGAGTGACTGAACAGCTCATGTTATCTGAAATTCTGGGCAGCAATGGGGTAGGAGGGTGGAAGATGCAGAGACCTAAAAACTTCAGGCTTGGTTTTTCTTTGATTTCACTCATTCAACAAATGCTCACTGAGTGTGCACCTTATAGGCAACATACCTACAGTGATAAACAAGGCAGATCCAGTCCTGCCCTCACAAAATTAACATTCTGCTGGGAAGAAATTAACATTGAATTAACCACCTACTCTTACACAGATACATAATTTTAAATTATAAAAAGTGAAAGGAGGGGCCAGCAGGTGGCATGGTGGTGGTTATGGTGCTGGACTCCCACATGGCTGACCGCAGTTAGAGTCCTAGACCGGATGATTTGTTCTCTCTCTCTC